CCCATTCTAGCCATTAGGACCTTTCAAGCGTCCGACCGCACGTCCTGGCATCGCCCGCCATAGGCCACACCGAGCATGAGTAGCGAGTGCACCAGCAGAGCAAGCGTGGGGGTTGTAAGCTTGCCACGGATCCGCCGGTGCCGCCGTGCCAGCCTCCAAGCAACACCGTTGCAGTGCTGCATGCCGAGGCAGGGACGAACGATGACGATTCAGCAAGATCCATGGATTCCTGCGTCCGCCAGGTCCTAAAGGAAGAAGCAAAGAAGCATGACCAGAAATCTAGAAGCAGCAGCCTAACTTCAGTACAAACGGAGTCGTCGTAGCCTGGAATCTCGCATCTATGTAGTATGAGACTCGAATACTCGATCTCCTCACTTGTGTGCTCAATAATGTATATACAAGACTCGATCTCCTCTCTATTTTGTTCGATGAGAATACAAATTGTGTCGATATGCTGCCTATGAGGCTGGGTTAGAACCGACCCGAAAAAACTGACCCAAAATTTTGGTTAGAACCGAACGCCCAGGCCTAGTCATAATGCTATCAAAATACTGCTAAGACACTTCCAAAATTTTGAATATTTTTTTGGGTATTAAATCTGAATTGAAATAGTTGCAAGTTGGGCCAAATATATTTGATCAAATATAAATGTCTAATTCTCAAATCAGGGGCAAAATCACAAATAGACATAACAAACAGGGGCAAAATCACATGGGCATTTCTGTCATTTTGTATAAAATGTAACACCGTTAGGGGAGGATGACGGAATAGGGGCAAAGTGGTGCTTCGTTTCAAAAACAAAGGGGTAAATTCACAAAGTCAAAAAAACAGGGGCAAAATCACAATTTCGATACAAAGCAAGGGTAAAAATGCAAGAGCCCCAATTTAAATAACATAGCAAACAATAACATTAATAGAATATAATGTGTGCTACATGCACCTGCTGCCCTCATCTTCTATGCCTGCTAGCCTTGTGACTAGGTTCTTTGTAAAGGGAGCAAAGATTCCTGCCACGGGTCTTGTTGAAGTCTCTCCCTCCATACATGTCTTCGTCGTATCTTCTCATAGCGTCCATGTCCCCCTTGAGTCACTTCTTCTTCCTTCTACCCTTCCCTACCTTTATTAGGTCTGGATGCGACACGTAGTCATGGCCATGATAAGGGGGGCACTATGTCAGGTCAAGGTACGGCTCAAGCTCCTCTCCCAAATACTAAGGGTGTTCGAACGGACATACAAGAGTGACACATATGACAGACCCTCAAAGTCATATCCACGGACCCTATAGGCCGTGATCATGTGAGAGCAAGGGGCATGCATGATCTGAGGGACGTTGCAACTGCACTCTACTTTGTCAAGATCAACTCGATAGTTCCGTCCACCATAACGTTCGCCGCCCAAGCTTGTGCCAACCTTCCTCCGTACACTAAAGACATGTCGGCGAGGTCCATACGGCTTGGTGGTATGCTACTTGGCCAATTCCTCAGCCTCCTTCAAATGTTCTGCTCTAGCCTTTCCAAATCGCCCATGCTCAGCTAGATTCCTCTACGTAAGTTCCCACCTCTTGACAAAATATTTGTTGCACTTGTAAAATGAGAACTCAACAATTCTAGACACCGGCAAGGATCAAACTCTAGTGAATACACGGTTGAAAGACTCTGACGAATTGGTGGTCATGATGCCATACCTAAAACCGCCCTCGTCATATGCTAACGCCCACTTAGCCTTCTGTTCCATCTGTGCCTCTAACCAAGCCTTACCCACTTCGTTTAGCATCTTGTCTAGTTATCTCTTTGTCTCCTTGAACTGGTGCTCTATACATACACACAATATATAGCCTTTACCTTGTCACAAACCTCCTTCTTCCTCTAACGCCGCTAGAAATTAGCAGCAAAATGTCACATGCACCATCTGTGCACTAGAGGTGGGGACCCATCGATATGTTCACCTGCAGCATTAAGAAGCCCTGGGTGACGGTCCGAGATCAAACATATAGTGCGAGATGGGCCAACCACTTGTACACGTAGAAGCCGCATAAACCATGACCACGATTCATTGTTCTCTCCCTCTGCCAAAGCAAAAGCCATGGATACTATCTAGTCCTGATCAACAGCAGCAGCCATCATCAATGTGCCCCTGTACTTTCCAGTGAGGAAAGTGCCATCAACAAGTACAACTAGCCAACAATACTGGAATGCATGTTCCGTCTACGCGAATGACCAGAACACACGATGCAGGACATGCCTCAACGGGTCCTCAAAATACATCCATCCGGTGTCTATAAACCATTTCAAGTTAGGGTTGTAGTAATGCATTGCACATAATATTCGGGGAACCCTGTTGTACGCTTCCTCCCCACTACCCCCACCGAATCGCTAGGGCAATTTGCTTAGCACGCCAAGCCTTTCCATACTTGACATCATACTTAACAAATTTGGATATGGACTGTTGTAAGGAAGATCACTGAAATATCGTTATTGTCATCAATGAGCCCCAATATCGACGATGGGCAAGGTAACATGGAGTGAGCTAGTGATGATTTTCCTTCCCCTTATTTGATAGGCAAGTGTGGAGTTGGACCACTTTACTTATCCTTCGCTTGCCGTCACTCTGTCTCTTTCATGCATTTAACCTCCACATACAACTATTTTTGCATATCACGTGGTACCTCAACTCCTGGTTTGAATGAGTGACGATGTATGACCTATGATGATAGACATCATAGTCCTGAAGGAACAAGTTCATCTCTGACATTGTATTGAATATCATCCCCCTTGCTAAGGATTTTATTCTCATAGTCATACAATAATTTCCTACACATTTGTAGACCGGTGTCACAAACTGTCATATCCATCATGCTGACATCCATATAGTTTAGAACGCCACTGAAAGGTACATTCATCGACCTCAGTTGCATAAGTTCTGTCGCTGTGTAAGGTGGTGATGAAACGTACTGCTGTGCTTCGCTAATTCTACCCCATGAATCATAAGGGGATCATCCTCTAGCAAATCTATGACTAGTCTACCGTGAGTCGACATAGCATGAAGTACCTCAGTTGGTACTTGTAATGGCATAGCATAAACCGGTACTGGCATGGCATCAACCGGTGTTGGCATAACATCTCTACTTCCTTGCTCATCATCTGAATCGTCTGAATCACTGCTAACTACATCATCGATCCTGTCCTCCTCCTCTTGCTCCTCCTCTTCCCGTACGAACTCGTTCACATCGAAGTCATTGCTTATACAGCCATTGGAGTTGAATGAAGCTGCTCCTGCGTCAACTGACAGTCCAAATGCATAGTACCCATAGTTGGTTCCACATGGACCCCACATTCTTATTGAGTACCATCGTCGAAGGATGACACCTCCTGAAGACCATGCATCTTGTACCCATTCTCCACCACCACCTCAGCCATGGATACATTGGAACCTTGGATTACCCTATTGTAGCGGGACCAGTGAGCATGGTCGCGTAAGGGCATCAACACATAGTGTGCCCTAGTATTTTCACTATCAAACCTTTCCATTAGTGTGAAATCACCGCCAAACTTTCCCTTCAAACGGACACAAAGATCGCTAAAGCTAGGAGGTTCATCAAACCATTCCAATTCCTCTTTCATATCCTCAAACATACCATCTCTCTCTCTAACACTTCCTCCGTAAAAAACTCTGACACAACAATCCATCTACAAAAGCATTTCAAGAAACTTCATCAAGTCGTCGAAATCGTCATGCCTACTAACTAATCTAGTATTCATACCTATACTAACTAAGAAAACTAACTAATCTAATATTAATACCTATAACAACAATTCTAACTAACTATACTAAATACACTAACTAATATTAGTACCTATACTAACAATACTAACTAACTGCATTAACCAACTATACTAACTAACTTCACTAACTATACATATCTAGCTAACTTTACTAATTTCATTGACTAATTTTGAATCCTAACCCTAGCTAACAACAATTCTATTGAAGCAACAAATGCACAAGAGGATTACCTCCACAAACCACAGCGGGAATGGCCGGCCGGCGGCAAGAGGATCACCCCAATCCACCTAAGGCGATGAGCTGGCCGGCGGCGGCAATGGCCGGCCGACGGCGGGCTTCTTCTACGCCCAAAGTTAGAGGAGGGTTAAGGGCAGGGGGTGGCAGGGGAGGAAGAGGATGGGGAGAGAGGGAGGTCGCGCCACAGGGAAACGGTGGCCACGCCGGGCGCGGGGGGGGCGGCGGCCCAGTGGGGATAGGGAGAGACCGAGAGAGGGAGACAAGGGAGAGAGGGAGCCGACGGGGGAGGCGCGGCGGTGCGGGCTGGGTGGCGGGGGCTAGGCGGCGCGGAGGCGGTTGCTGTGCGGCGGCTGGGCGGCGCGGAGTGAAATAGAGAGGGAGGAAAGGGACTGGGTCGCGGGCCTCTATTTCGCTCTGCCGTGCCCTGACGGGTGGCGCGCCACAGCCTCGCCCTAATCGGTGGCTCGGCAAGACTGCCACGTCAGCGACCAGCGGGCCGGGACGTTGCCACGTACGCACCCCTGCCGCGCCGCTTGTTTCGCCGCTCCCTGGAAATAGACACAGCCCAAAAGTATTAGTTTTGAAAAAAAAAAAACAGTATCAGGTTTGAAAATAGTTTAAAAAAAGTGTTAGAAATAAAAAAAAAATTCTCAGCGGGAGCTCAGGACTCTCTCATCTCGCCGAGTTCTTCCCTCGCCGCGAGAGTTTTTCGATTTTTCCTTTTGGGCGTCATTTGTAGGTTCAGCTCACTTTGTACATCACTGCCACAAGGCTAACCTGGGTACCGTTAGGCATCAAGATGCCTTTTACATAAACCCGACTCGTGGAAGTTTTCAAGAAAATTGCCGCATGCAAATTCTGACTTCCACGCCCTACGCCGGCCCCTACCTATCTGCCACTATAAGTACCGATCCCAAGTCCGTCCATTTCACTCCACCGCACTATCTTCACAGAGCTCTTCCACACTCAGATCCAGCGAAATGGCATCCGTCCTGCGCCTCCTCGCCGTCCTCCTCGCCGCGGCGGTCGTCGCGGACGCCGTGACCATCGTGGTCACCAACAAGTGCGGGTACACCGTGTGGCCCGCGGCGCTGCCAGGCGGCGGCACGGTGCTCAACACCGGGGAGTCATGGTCCATCGACGTGCCGGCGGGGACGCGGAGCGGCCGCGTGTGGGGCCGCACGGGGTGCGGATTCATCGCCAACGGCACGCTGGGGCAGTGCCAGACGGGCGACTGCGGCGGTACGCTGGCGTGCAGCAAGGTCGGGTTCGAGCCCATCACGCTGGCCGAGTACTCGCTCGCCTCCGGCGCCGGCGGCGCCGACCAGTTCGATATCTCCCTCGTCCACGGCTTCAACGCGCCCATGTCGTTCCTCCCCAGCGCCAGCAGGTGCGCCCGCGGTGGGCCGTCGTGACCGGTGCAGGAGATCACGTTCAACTGCCCCTCCGAGCAGCGGCGGGTGGCCGGGTGCGGCAACCCCTGCGACGGCAAGAGCAGCAGCTGCGGCCCCAACAACGGGACGGAGTACTTCAAGAAGGCGTGCCCGCAGACGATCACGTACCCCAGGGACACGACCAACACCGTCTTTACGTGCCCGGCCGGGACGAACTACGAGATCACCTTCTGCCCATGAAAAATTGCGAGCTAGCGATCTGAGACTGAACCACCGACGGATCAGGTCGGAGCTCGTGTGATAGGTTTTGGCCTTGGGCTCTGTCTATGTCGATCTCAGCTCGTGTTTGCGTACGTACAAACATAAGTTTATCGATTATATGATGTTATCTATATGTAGATGATATAAATAAAAGGTGGCTAGATGTTTGCAATGGTAGTATACATACATATTGTGATGTGTACTGACTAAACATGTACTGTGTAGTATAGCCGTGAAAGTCGTTAATGATGAATATGTTCTCTTGTGTGGAATAAGATAGATATGCTTCTGTTGTGACTTGTGAGGATCGGATTATCGGAAGATGCTGTTTTCGGGTGCTGATTCTCTGCTTGCACGTAACTGTGTACACGAAGACTGAAGAAGAATCGATGCGGATTGTCGGCAGGACATAAATCAGACGAGTTTTTGTGAACACGTGCAGGTAACGACTTGGGACGTGGAAACTGGGCAGTGGGTACACCTCTTCTGCCATTTCTTCTGGTCGACTAAGCAGAGACCTCCGATTTCAGCAGACTGATCCATATGAACTGTGGAGAATTCATGCATGGGGGCGTAGCTTGTATGCGGATAAGTTTAACACACGTACAACAATGAATGAAAGCAACGAAGCTCACGTCATAGTCATACTACTGCCCACGATAACAGGAGAGCTGATACAAGATAGTTTATGGGCATGTTTGATATAGTTCACAACAGTTTCATGAGTTATCATGAGTGTTTTTTTTACCAAACACTCATTTTCAAAATAGCTTCACTGTTTTTCTCCTCTCACAAGGACATGAGTTAGAATAAAGGTGAAAAAAGTAGCTTAACCTAGCTCTCTCATTTCTCTCTCATCCATGTATGAAGCCATTTTGCTAAACAATTTTTCAAAACAGTTCAGCTTTACCTAGAAAGTTGCTCATGAAGTTGTTTTTTAAAAAAAAAAAATAGTAAAGCTGACATGTGCCCAACGGAACCTATGATCAATCCAATAATAAATTGAAAGAACCCTGTACAACATATATGATGCATGCGTGTTACGATCGTGGGTGTGGGTAGCGTGTCGCCGGCGCTGCATGCGGTGCGGCTCACACGTCGGCACGTCTCGCGTCAGGCGACAGGGCTCGTGGCGTTCAGTGAACGAAGAGAAGGCCGCACGCACCGACGCACTCGGGACGCAGGTTGGTTGCAAGCCGTCTCTGAGATTGTAGATGGTGTCTTAAACTCGATGGAGGAGAGCCCTTACCCATTGACGGCTAGGGCAGAGATTGTCATCACACTGTCCCTAAGAGACCTTTCCTTTCAAGACATTAGACAATTTGTATTTTGCTATTGACTGCCAATATGGTTTTGCCGACGGTTTGAACCTAATAATAGGCAGCTCGAGATCGATATAATAAAGGATTGCTAGTTTTTATAGACTTGGTTGACAAATTTCAGTAGATTGTATATAGTGAACACCAAATTGCCAAACACACCGAGCAAGGGTCTGCTGGTTGATGGTCTAGTTAACTTGCCTGGGCCAAACAACTATATCCAACCCTAGGCAACCGAAAATAGACGTCAGAGATTTTTGCCGTAACTTTGCCCCTTAAATGCACCGTGGATCGCTAATATAATGACACGTAGCTCTCCTACGTATTCGAGAAAAAAAAGTGTTCATAATTGCGTAGTATTAAAAATCTAAAACAAACAAACTAAACTCTGCACTTTGATTTTTTTTCGCGAGGGGTAAAATATTTTACCTCTTACTTAACACCGTTAAGTGGCTAAAATGGACGGAAAGCCATCCAGAGAAGAGAAATTTGTTTTCAGTAACTCCAGAAAAAAAAATAGGGCCATATAAGGAAACCATAGTTTTTTGGAGGCCATACATGTAATTTCTCTACATTTAATTATACGAGATAATATACTTAGACCTTATTTGGATGCATGTGTATCTACTTTAATCTATATGTGTTCGAGTGGATTAGAATGGAACTTAGTTTAATTTCACTCCAATCTACTCCAACACATATCGATTGAGATGAATACATTCGCATCCAAACAAGGCCCGTCGTTACAAACTTACAAGCATATACACATGAGAGAGGTGGCTACATGTCTACATCATCCATGCATCACGGTTTGATAACAGCAGGTGTAAATAAATCCATACATAAGTTTCTAAATTCTAGGTGTTATTTTTTATTTGCAAATGAAATTCTAGGTGTTCGGCTAGCAATATAATTAAGAATTTAAGATCAATAGAAGTTATAAAAAAGAAAACAAAATAACTGGAAACAGAAAAGAAAGAGATGTTGCTACGTGCATGGGCTTTCCTCTTTTTTTTTTGGAACAGTGCATGGGCTTTCCTACGCTTCTCTGTTTCTCCTATGGGCTATGGGCTAACATATGCCCTTGGCTCTCAAGTGTTGGCTGTGTCGTTCGTGCGCGTGCTGGATAATCCCACCTCGCATGACCATGCAAGCTGAGACCACGCCGGCTGTTTTATATATAGTAGATGCAATCGTGTACCTAGAGAACAGGTGGTGAGGTGGGCTGGGGGCACCGCAGGAGTCCTGAGTATTACTTGGGCCCCCTTTCAAAAAGAAAAAGAGTATTACTTGGGCCGGGCGCCGACCCCTTGATGGGTAGCAAACTGATGGACCTGCCCGTTCGTTGCTTCATCCGAAGGCCACGGCGGCCATGAGCCCGGCCGTAGTTTCACGAGGCCCATCTGGGTGGGATCTGCCAGCCTCTTGGTTGGCGCCGGTCCTCCGTCCCATCTCTCCACGGCTCCACTCCACCCATCGCTCCCTCACCGCGGAAACAAACCATCCCATCCTATTCCATCATCGTCGCCGTCTTGGAAGGGAACCGCCGCAAGTACGCCGGATGCGCCATTGTCATTCAGATTCTTCACTTGTTGTCCGTCCAACACGCCGTGACAAAAAGCCCGCCGCCACATGCCAACTGACTTTACCAAGCTCTTCAGCAGCCTTGTCCTACTAATCATTTTTCAACTCTTTTTTTTTCTTCTCCTCCATTCAGAAGAAGATTACTGCTCCTATTATGTACTAACTGTTTTGACCCTGTTAGCACATGACATATGATGAACCAACCAAGACACTTCGGCGAATAAATCTTTTTTTATTTCGAGGTAACCGCACAAACAATTCAAATCAAAGACTTATCATCTAGTACTACTAACATTGGTTTGGATTAGTATTTGCTTTAATTTTATAGGCTACAGCGAATAACTAACCGAAAAGACTCGAAGGAAAGCGACAGTTTTTCAGTTGATGCATTTCCACCGCTTGCTCAGACGCTGACGGCACGAAAACGAAAGGGCTAAAGCAGCCTACAGGTACTCTGCGCGTCTGACCAGATCATGTGCAATGCAGGAAATTTGGCTGAAAGCTCCGAATAGTAAGCGCGTGTTTAGTTCTAACACTAAATTCTCAAAAAATGCTACAATATCTATCGCATCGAATCTTACGATACGTGCATGAACATTAAATATAGACGAAAAAAAATTAATTACATAGTTTAGTTGGAAATTACGAGACAGAACGTTTTGAACCTAATTAGTCCATGATTGAACATTAATTATTAAATAAAAACGAAAGTGGTACAGTAGCCCAAATTCCCAAATTCACCCAACTAAACACGCGCTAAGCTCGGTCTAGGAGAGGAATAGTAGAACAAGACTACAAGAGACAGCTACTGATGCAGCAGGTGTACGTACGGCGGCGTATTCCGTTTTCCGGGTAAACTCGGTGGAAGAACGCGTGGTCCGTGGCCCCGGAAGGGCGCGCCTGACGCGTTCCGCGCGAAGAATTCAAAGGCGCTAGCCTACCACGGCCGGCCGGTGACTGACCCCTGAGTCCCTGAACTGAGCGATCTCTCCTCTTCTCACAAGAATGGCATGGCAGGGCACTGGGGTTTCAGTTGTTAGTTTCCGTCGTGAACCCGCTCGCTCAAACGGAAGTGCAAGGGCTCTTCTGCTCACACTCACACAAAATCAGCGCTTGAACTAACGCAAACGCATGCCGCGTGCGTCTCATCTTCCGGAGCCCCCTGCCCACCACAGCCACAACAGGGCAGCAGGAGAAAGGAGATGCATTTCAACTGAAATGCAGAGTCTCTCTATCTAACACCCGGGTGTTTTAGCACATGGGAACACCCAAATTTTTTCCCTATGAATACTGTTCATCTTCCTCCTCTCCCATCTTTCTTCTTGGCACAAATCACAAGTAACAAATCATAAATCATAAGTAATAATTTTTTTCTATGAAATGACAAAAACAAAATTTGATGACGGCGCCAGAGTTGAGGAAGAAAAAAGCTCGCCGAAATTAGGGAAGATGCCGGGCATGCTCAGGTGCGGCCGCGGTGGCGGCGCGGCCACGGGCGGGTGCGGCTGCGGTGCAGGTGCGGGCGATTGCGAGCGCGGCAGCCACGGCTCAAAAAAATCGTGTGTTCCTGGGTGCTAAAACACCCTGGTGTTATCTAGCATTTCCGTTTCAGTTCAGGTTCCCCCCACCAGTACCATAACCGCGATGCGCATTATTTCTGCCAGGGCAATGAAATGAAACCGCTACAGTGAATCGGCACATTTGGTTCCATTCCATGATTAGCCATGCCTAAAAGGCCCCCATAATGCCATGTCTCATGTCTGCCAAAAAGCGGACCCGTTTCGTCTCACTCACCCAAGCCGCCGAACGCACGGAAACGGGCGAGACGGAAACTTGCAGGACGACCGACAGGCCGTCTGCCGTTCGGCCAGGAGAAAGAGTGGCCATGCCGACGCGGACGGCGCGCGCCCGTTTCCAGTTCGGCTGGTAGCGGCAGGTCGGAGCGCCGCGGATAAAAATGGCGTGCAAGTTGGAGTACCATGGTCCATGGATCGATGATGCGGCTACGCGGCCTCGCCGGCGAGCCGAGACGTGGCGGACAGACGGAGGCACGGTCACGTGGTCCCCGAGTGCGGATCAGCGGGGGCACGCCGCTGCAGACAGCAGTGCTACTGCCTAGTGGTGCCGCCGAACGCTACCTGGATCCTGTTGAGTTCCCTCCCAAAATATTAAAAATTTCAAAATTTTCCGTTACATCGAATCTTTGACACAAGCATGAAGCATTAAATATAAATAAAAAATAAAATTAATTACACAATTTAGACGAAATTCACGAGACGAATCTTTTAAGCCTAATTAGACTATGATTGAACATTAATTGCCAAATAACAACGAAAACGCTACCGTGTCGTTTTGCCAAAAATTTCGGCAACCAAACTGGCCCCTGTTCTCTCGTTGGTTTCTGCCGTCATGATATAATATTTTTCTCTCGTAATAAGGCCCCGTTTAAATCCAAAAATTTTTAGATTTTGGTTACTGTAGCACTTTCGTTTGTATTTGGTAATTAATGTCTAATTATAAACTAATTAGGTTCAAAAGTTTCGTTTCGTGATTTCTTACCCAACTGTGCAATTTTTTTTTTCGTCTACATTTAGTATCCTATACATATGCCGTAAGATTCGATATGACGAGTACTGTGTAAAATTTTTTAGAATCTAAACGGCGCCTAAATCAGCATCAATCAAATAACAGTTATGATATAATATTTTTCTCTTGTAAGATACCAGCATCAATCGAGCTGTACGGCTTCATGATTCAGGGAAGCTGGGCCTGCTTCGCCTTCCGCAGTGCCGCCGCTGCCGCGGCCTACTGCTGTCTGCTGCTCTCGAATGATGGCGCCCTCCAACTCGGTCAGGTCAGATCAGGCTTTGCTCGCCTGCAGCCTTTGTGGCTGGCGCCGTGATCCACCGGCGAGCGCCCGCGCGGAACCGCGGCAGGAAGGGAGAAGAATCCAAAGTCTCGCGACGTTTTGGCGCGGACAAACAAACAACGCACGCGGCCGCAGCTCCTGCCGGCTGCCGCTGCTGCGCTACGACGTGTACTGGTGCCGGTCGGGTGAACGCGCCCGGTAGGGAAGCGAACATGAACAGTCCATGCCTCTGTTCATCTTTGGGAATCGAACATCCAATGCAAGAGGCTCGTTTTGTCTTTCGACGCACGCTGGATTGGAGGGAGAATGCGCAGAGTCACTGGAGCATGGGTTCCCGGGGCCCGGGGGTGAGCGTGCACGGAAGAACTGTCAACTTCACAGGTTCCGTTCGCTCGGAGAAATTTAAAGAGATTTACGAGAAAAAAACACGGTTCTGTGAAAAAAACGAATCAAATTAGATTTAAGGGCACGCGAACGGCACCAATGGCAGCAGATTGCTCCGTAGAGTACATCGAATCCAATCACCACGAATGTAGCGGTGAGTTGTTAATGTTCGCGCTTGTTAATCCGATCCAACAAGGGATGCGAGAACAACGACGGCCACTGAATGAGCAAACATCGAGTACTACTATCTTTCTTCTCTTTAAATTTGTTGCCCACTAATTTACAATAATTACTACGACATGGAAAGCTCCAACCGCCTCCCCTGCGAGCAACCGCCACCGCCACCGCCACCGCCGCCGCAAGGCGATCTCTGAACCGAGCTAAGGAACGCGGTGCAGAGCACCGTGAGCGCCAGGGCCAGGAGCTTCCCAGCGACCAGGCCGGCGAGGACGATGGCGACCAGAACTAGAGCAGGGAACCGGATCCCTGGCTGCTCCTCCTCCTCCTCCTCCTCGATGAGGTCGCCCACCAACGCATCGATTTCTACGGGCGCGGCATCGGCATCTACTTCTACGCCTTGGCTGCGGCGAGAGCCCCTCGAAGAATCCGCCTCTTTGGCAGCGGCGGCGTCCTCCGCGGCGACACCGGTTTGACTGGCGGAGCCACGGCGGGAGCCCGAGAAATCCGCCGCCTTGGCATTGCCACCGCCGCGCGCCGTGGCATCGTCCGCTCGGTCGCCCTCGCTGCGGAAAGAGGAACCTGACGAACCCGCCTCCTTACTCCTCCGTCCTCTGTGCAGCTTCTTGGCGCTGGCCGCGAGCAGCTTCTTCCAGGACTTCTTTGCCTTCGCCTTCGGGTTGCTTGATTCGTCCAGGACGCCGCCGCTGCTTTCGTCGATTTCGACGGCCAGGATGCAGGCCTCGCTTGCCCTGTCTGAATCCGAGCAGCTCGGCCGCGACGGCTCGGTCTCCGCGTCGACTTCCCGGATCGGCGACACGCGCCCGCGGCCGTCCAGGCAAAGCCGCCTCTCGGTCACCGCCGGCCGGGGCCGCCGCCTGGGGGGCAGCGAGGACGACGACCTCACGCACTCGAACAGGTAGAGCGAGAAGGAGGCGACGGTGACGGCCGCAACCACCTTCTTGCTCCAGATCACGAGGAGCGCGAGGGACACCACGCCGCTGACCGCGAGGAAGCCCAGGCCGAGGCCAAAGCCGCCGCCTTTGCCGCGGCGTGGGGGCTGGGCCGGCGGGAGGTCGGGCCTCGGCCGATCCGACGGTGAGACGGCGACGGCGGCTGCCGTGGGAGGCGCAGGCGGAGGCGGAGAGGCGGGCGGCGGGGACGGTGAGGGCGAGGTGGGAGTGGAAGGCGAAGTCGAAGCGGCGGCGCCGCGCTTCCCGCGCTTGGAGGACGGGGAGGGCTGCTTCTTGAGGCGGCCATGGTTCTTGACGACGAGGTCGGCGAGGGAGGTGGGGAAACCGGTCTGGACGGGGAGGGGCCCGGCGCGGGAGGGGCGGAGCGCGGCGAGGAGGCGGCCAAGACGGCCGGAGGGGCGGTCCTTCGGCGGGCTGGGCATCGGCGGCCGCGCCCTTCGCCGGCGAGCATAGGAGGACGCCGGCGCGCGGGCCGGGGGGAGGTTGTTTGGTGCCGTTTGGTGCTGTCTCCTCTCTGGGTTGGTTGCCGTGGGTGGCCGAGTTCGTGTCCGCAGTCCCTCCGCTTTTGGGGCGTGCGGAGACCGTGGGAGAATAGGAAGGGGCGCGCGACGGCGAGCGCGAGTGCCGAGTGGGTTTTGTTTTCTTTTCAACTTTTCTTTGTCTTGTTCGTATTTTTTGGGCTCTTAGAAAAAGAAATAAATGGAGCCGGGTTTTTGTGATTGGCTAAGTTTGAAATGGATGAAAGGGAAGCGTGTTTGGGATGGTTTTGCTGGGAGCGGTTGAGGAAGAGCACGGTGCTTCGAGTCAAAAGAACATGGAACACGCGTATGCTATTTCATAACAATTCGCCTATCGCTCCTAAACATGTAAATAATTCTAAATGTTAGAATTCTGTGGATGATTTTTGGGTCAACAACAAATAAAAATTATTTTAAAAAAAACTTTGCTCTCTAGTTTGTTCTTAATGCAACACGGTACTCATTGGTTATTAGATCAATTTCAGTAACGAGGGATCAATTGAGATCGATTCAAATTGGACAAAATTCAGAGTTTCATTTTTCTATATACATGGGAAAATCATCACGCCACTATAAAAGACTCTCTAAATGATCAAGATTATGTAACTGCCACTACAAAGATTGTCGTGCCCAACTTACCATCGACAAAATTTACTCGTGACCTTTCTGCCACTGCCATTAGTTCTGTTAGGTTTAACTTTCGTTTTGACCAGACGACTACCGATTTTTCTCAAAATGGCATTTTTGCCCCTCCCCTAGTGGTGAAAGTGGCATGGATAATCCTCCGCTCCGATCTGCTCCGAATCCGAGTTTTGAGGATATGGAGAAGTGTCTTTTTATATCCGTGAGGATGCGGATAATCCGAGTCCAACAGATACAGCGTAGGATATGGGATTGACGAAATCCGGCAGATATGGATTATCCGATAAGTGAACGTGGATTATCCGACGCTTATAATAGGATAATCCGAATATTTTAAGGAGCCCAGGCGGCAAGAATATTAGTTAGCCCAACCCATGACACAAACATTATTATATTGTAGCCCACAAGCAAAACTCGTCAACCATATATAGTAATTTAAGTATCTTTTCACACGACATGGAATGGTAATCCTAGTGATTGCCTATTTGTCTGATTGGCGGCTAATCAGCAAACGGCGACGCAGTCCTGCGCTTGAATAACGCTTCACCGGTCACGAAAGAATTATCATCTACCAAAGTGGAGGACTAGTACACGACAAAAGAGTGAAGGCAAAGTTCTACTTAATTAAAAATATTTATTTCTTTTGCATGTTAGTTTTATACTCTTAAATCCAGACCGAGAACTTGTATTAATTTTGTGAGCTCTTAAATTGAAGTGGTGGATTGATGGAGATTATTTCGTGTTGCATTGCCGCTTTATGACTTTGGTTAATGAATTGTTTCTCATCATAAAAAACAACATGTAAGCACATATTATCCGACTTAGAAAAGTCCGCTTCCGCTCTGACACCGGTCCGAATCCGTAACATTTCCGATATCTTAAAAATTCTGTATTCACATCCGAATCCGTATAATATCCGATCCAAACAAAAAAATAGGATTAGGATATGGACAAGCCATTATCTGCTCCGCTCTGATCTGTTTTCATCCCTACCCTCCCCCTCTGCTTTGCCTTCAAGCACTAGGGATGAGCCATGCTCCCACTATGAGTCATCTTCCACGTGGATTTGACCATTGGATTCCATGATGCCGCACAGGAAGTCCTCCAAAGCAAAGAGGTTGGGAGGCGTGTAGGAGAGCGGCATGCGACTAAGGCCACCTACACCATGCCTCACGTTGGCCTGCGTTACATCTCCTCCGCACTACCACTTACACCGTGCCTCGCATTGCACCGCCCACGCTACACTTTGCGTCGGCGCATGTTGCGTCATCCCCATGCCACAATTCGCCATGATTCGCGTTGTGCCGCCGCCCATGCTCCTGAGATTCATGCTCTAGCTAACTATAACACACTCGGTGTTACGCCCTAAACAAACTACTAAACCATGTCATGAGCATCATGTTTATGTGATAAAGCATGCGATAAAGTGTGTAGATAAATTTCTTGTAACCTAAAATGACCAATAAAAATGTTAAATAAAAATTTATTCAATAGCTCATGTTATGTCAAGTAGGGTTGAAAACCAATTTTATTGAGAAAAATATTATATAACATGTGTACGACACCTAAATAAAGTTTGAAGTAAAAACTTTATAGATGACAATGCAACTATTGCTGTAGAAAAATAACATTGCTAGCTAGTATTTCTAATAGCTTAGAAATGGAACTTGAAATTGAATTCAGTTCAAGACTTCAAAGATTCTTTTAGTTTATTGACAGCAAGACAATGTCATGTTTAGGAATTTATTTTGTGAAATTGAGTTAAGAGGTGGCGTCTTGTTTTAGCTCGGATTGGTAGCCTAATAGACCCTCTTTAGCATAGTGAAGGCGGTTTAGTGTCAACCTCAACAGTTTAGTTTATACGCTTTGCTATGCACCACATGGTCTCGGGCTTTAAAATTTATGCACAGACCACTGCGACTACCACGGTCCGACCGAGGCGGCCGGCATGGCCATGGCTTGGCATGGGCGTGGTGCTCCCCCACGATGTTCGGCGTGTTGCCGCTTATCGTCGTTGGGGCTGACCATTGGCTGCCATGCGTCTTTGGTGTCGCGTGTCGCGGATTACGCACTTTGTCACCACATGTGGCCTCGCGCGCCGAGGCTCACAGAGCACGCCGGCGCACGCATGCACGTGGTCTGGTCGCATTGTCATGTAGCGAGTGCGCAGACGTTGCCTCGGGTCTGGCCGACCGCCTACCGCCAAGGCGAGGACAGCCAGAGCTCGGACACATCCCCTCTCCCTGTCGCCTCTGCCGTCAGAGCCGCGCCCTCGCAATCAGCCAGGGAGAGTTCACCTCAATCCGATTCAATGCGTCCACGGTCTCGTCTTTAAGTCCTCTAGCTGCCCAACCCCATCCAGCCTTGAAGCGGGCACGATCAAGCTCCAATTTGGGGTTTTCCCGCCGCTGTGTCGATAAGGCCGCGCTCGGCCATTGTCGAGGGCAGCCCTCCATCGGTCCACTGAAAGGTCCTAATGGCTAGAGGGGGGTGAATAGCCTAATAAAATTCTACAACAACACTTAACAAAATGTGTTAGACAATTTTGCGGCGAAGCGAATGTTGCGCTAGCCTACTAAAATGCAAGCCACCTACCACAATTCTATTTCGAATAGTGTATGTCCACACAATAGCTATGACACTTAGCTAAATTAGTGTGCTCTCAAAGACTAACTAAAGAGCAACACTAATCAAACAAACAAGCTCTCACAACTTGCTACACTAAAGAGCTTGATAACTAGTTTGCGGTAATGTAAGAGTGAGCAAGAGAGTTATACCATTGTAGTGGTAGGAACCAATCAATCACAATAATGAATACCAATGTAGACCAATCACCTCGGAATCAAATGATGAACACAATGATTTACCAAGGTTCACTTGCTTGCCGCTAAGCTAGTCCTCGTTGTGGCGATTCACTCACTTGGAGGTTCACGCGTTGATTGGCATCACTCGCAAACCCTCAATAGGGTGCCGCATAACCAACACAAGATGAGGATCACACAAGCCACAAGCAATTTACTAGAGTACCTTTATGCGTTCGAGAAAGGTCAAGAACCCTCACAATCACCACGATCGAGTCGAGACAATCACCTCCTCGCTCCAAGCCGCCTAGGTGGCGGCAACCACCAAGAGTAACAAGCGAAATCACTGAAATGAAACACAATCACCAAGTGCCTCTAGATGCAAGCACTCAAGCAATGCACTTGGATTCACTCCCAATCTCACTATGATGGTGAATCAATGATGTAGATGAGTGGGAGAACTTTGGCTAGGCTCACAAGGTTGCTATGTCAATGAAAATGGCCAAAAATCCAAGCCACGGCCCGGCCATGGAGCTTAAATAGAAGCCCCCACGAAATAGAGCCGTTGTACCCCTTCACTGGTACTCTCTTCGACTCGACGCCCGGTCCACTTGATCGATTCGACTTCCGTCTCCGGCTTTAAGTCCTCTAGGCGCCGACCGATTGCCCAACCCCACCCGGGCTTTGAAGCGGGCGTCCGTAGAGTGAAGGTCAATTTGGGTTTTTCGACCGACGCGTCATTGTCCACCTCGACCGGACCATTAGCGTCGATGGTCGGCCATTGTCGAGCAACCCTCCATCGGTCCACCGAACCTGGATTTGCGTGCACCGAACCGACACCGGCATTTAGCTCGTTTCACTTCTATCTTCTCCCCCCTTGCTCCAATGTGCCAACCACAAGAATTTGCATCCGGCGCAATAGAAAATAGGCATTCCATTTTCCCGAAAGCGCCGAATCCACAAGTGTTAGCAAACACCACCTCCTTTGTAAATGTGCCAACACCACCAAGTGTATCACCTTGTGCACAAGTGTTAGCATATTTCACAAACATTTTCAAGGGTGTTAGCACTCCACTAGATCCTAAATGCATATGCAATGAGTTAGAGCATCTAGTGGCACTTTGATAACCGCATTTCGATACGAGTTTCACCCCTCTTAATAGTACGGCTATCAATCCTAAATGTGATCACACTCTCTAAGTGTCTTGATCACTAAAATAAAATAGCTCTTACAAATTATACCTTTGCCTTGAGCTTTTTGTTTTTCTCTTTCTTCTTTCTAAGTCGAAGCACTTGATCATCACCATGCCATCATCTTTATCATGCTATGATCTTCATTTGCTTCACCACTTGGAGTGTGCTACCTATCTCATGATCACTTGATAAACTAGGTTAGCACTTAGGGTTTCATCAATTCACCAAAACTAAACTAGAGCTTTCATCCACCCGAACCAATTCGAG